GCAGGGCGATGGCACGAATACTCGCAGGCCTCGAGGACAATTGTCTGGCGTATATCGATGATGTCGTTATCTTTAACAAGGACTTCCTCAGTCACTTAGCCTCCTTGAAAAAGTTTTCGAGCGATTCCGAACTTTCGACATCAAAATATCCGCCAAGAAGTTCACGGAAATAGCGCGTTCGCCCATCACTTTTTTAGGGCAAAATCACGAAAAGCTCTTATAGTCCAGGTACCAGAAACGTCAAAGCTAAACTTGACTGTCCGGCACCGAAGACCGCTAAAGAAGTAAAACGATTCCTGGGTATGGCTAATTTCTTCAGGAAGTTCATACCACATTTTGCGAGAACTGCGGCCCCACTGAATGATCTGACTAAGGAGGGATCAGCATTCACTTGGGCATCAACACATCAGAAAGCGTTCGAGAGCTTGAAAACCAGTTTGTCTTCTAAGCCGTGCTTAGCTTTCCCTCAGGATAAAGACTTCATCCTGCACACGGACGGTAGCCAAGTTGTGGTGGGCGCAGTCCTCATGCAGGAACAAACAGAGGACAAGACGGATATAGCAGTCATAGGTTATTTCAGTAAGACACTTTCAGAATCCCAGCGCAGATGGAGTCCCACACATACCGAACTTTTTGCTATGATCAGCGCTTTGCGTTTTTTCAAACCCATCATCTATGGCAATCGCACGCACATTTTGTCCGATCACAGACCTCTCACATATCTTCTTAAGCATAATAAAACACATGACAAGCTTGCGCGCTGGACCGTAGAGTTGCAAAGCTACATATTTTTACCGATTATCTGAAAGGCTCGTCCAATGTAATTGCCGACTATCTATCAAGAATCTCATATCCGTCGCAAGCGTTCCACGATGATCATCCCGAATCCGAAGACATTGTTGAATTTCCATATTGCCTTAGCGTAAATCCTTCAGATATCCCCATCATCGCCGGCAACATGCCCATCGCCATTAAGCCATATGATTTCTTAATTGAGCAGAAGAAAGACGATTTTTGTGCCGAAATCTTTGATTTTTTAGAAACTGATCGAGTGCCAGAATTTCCAGCCGACAGCGACAAAGTCCGCTGGCTGAGCCTAGCCGAGCAGTGTGTCATCGGAAGAAACGGATGTTTGTACCACAGAGCCATCCAAACGAGGTTTGCACGGTGTCAGTCAATTAGTAGTCCCCATGAAACTAAGAGAGCCAATCTTTTGGCCTATCATACTAGCCCGTCAGCAGGAGGTCTTACTTACTGGCGT